ACCCAAAATCCCAGGTAGGAGACGATGGACATGCTGGGGGAGGAAGAAACCTCAAAAACAAGCTCCTTCTTAAAGAGGGAGATAGAATAATGGGAGGGAGAAAGATCTTTTAGAGGTTGATTACCCACCCAAAAATCTTCCCAAAATAGAACAAAATTACCTAAGCAAACATCATACCTTACAAACTTGAGGAATTTAGGTAGAATGTTGGAAGTTGCCTTACAAGCACTAGTGAGTCGAGCCCATCGAAATACCCCGGCATCCCATTCAGTTCCGGAACAGCCATGAATACTAGCCACCACTTCAAGGCAAAGCCTCTCTCTTTCCACAGGCCACCTCTAGAGCCATTTGATTAAAAGAGCTTCACTTTTGTTAACTATGTTCCCTAATCCTAATCCCCCATCTTCCTTACAACAGCTTACTACTATTTGTATTCAGTTCTAAAGAAGAAGGAAAACATATGAAGATAGGTTTAGAAGAAATGGGCGGCACACACACCCCAACCCTCCAAAACAGTCTTTTATATTAGGGCAATAAGAAAGGGATACAATGACTAATCTGCCCCTGACTAGTAGGCAGTAAGAAAACATGAAAGCAGAATAAACCCAAGACCATTTAGTCCAGAAAGGAAGTTACATAGATAATTATTATGACATAACATAAACGGGCCCAAGCCCACAATGCTAGGCTCTAGGCCATACAACACTCCCCCTCAAGCTGAGTACAGATATTTATCATGCCCAGCTTGCAATAACAACTCCATAAATCTGGATTTTGTGAGACCTTTAGTGAAAACATCAGCTAGCTGTTTTGTTGATGGCATGTAAGGAATACAAAGTTCTCCAGAGACAATCCTCTCATGTACAAAGTGTCTATCAATCTTGATATGCTTCGTCCTATTATGCTGGACAGGGTTATCTGCAATGTTGACTGCAGCCTAATTGTCACAATAGAGCTCGAGTAGTCCATTTATATCTATCCCCAATTCTTTTAGGAGGATTCAAAGCCAGTGAAGTTTAGCGACACCATGAACCATGGCTCTATATTCAGCTTCAGCACTTGATCTTGCCACAACAGCGTGTTTCTTGCTTCTCCACGTGACCAGATTTCCACCCACAACGGTACAATATCCAGATGTAGACCACCTGTCTCCACAAGAACCAGCCCAATCAGCACTTGTGTACGCTTCAACCTCTATTCTGTCATGCTTCTTAAATAGTAAACCTTTCTCGGGACATGTCTGGAGATATCTCAAGATTCTCTCTACCGCTTTCATATGTGAGACTTGTGGACATGCATGAATTGGCTAACTACATGGACTAAATACGCAATGCCCAGCCTAGTGAGAGATAGATACAACAATTTTCCAACCAACCGCTGATATCTTTCTTTATCAAGATAAGGTTCATCATCACCTTCTTGCAATCCATGATTTTGCTCTGAGTGCCAGTAGGTCTGATTCCTAACTTCCCTGTCTCCTTCAACAGGTCTAGAGCATACTTTCTCTGACAGATGTAAGTCCCTTCCTTGGATCTAGTCACTTCTATTCCCAAGAAATATCACAAGTGCCCTAGATCCTTGATTTCAAATTCTAAGGCTAAGAAACCTTTTAACTCCATAATCTCCTTTGCATCATTTCCAGAAACCACCATATCATCAGCATAGACAATCATAGCTGTCAACTTTTCACCATCTCTCTTGTAGAACAATGTATGATCTGCACCACTCTGCTTGTACCCTATATCCTTCATTGCTCTACATAATCTCTTAAACCATGCTCTTGGGGATTGTTTGAGCCCATACAAGGCCCTTTTTAGTTTACACACACTTCCTCTCACGTTGTATCCTGGAGGAGGATCCATATACACTTCTTCCCACAAGTCTCCATTTAGGAAGGCATTCTTAACATCCAACTTATGCAGTTCCCAAGAAAATTTTGTTGCTAAAGAAAGTAACACTCAGATTGTATTTGATTTGGCAACCAGAGCAAAAGTCTCCTTGTAATCAATACCTTCCTTTTGGGTGAACCCTTTTGCAATCAATCTAGCTTTATATCTTTCACTATTTCCATTTGCCCTATGTTTCATTGTGTAAACCCACTTACACCCCACAATGTTCTTCCCATTTGGTAGATCCATTCAAGGTTCAAAGTATCAATACGTATCATGCCAATGGCTTACCGATACGCCTCTTCAGGGGTTGTATCGGGCCAGACACTGGTTCAGAGGGTAGTCGGGCCTTAAACCGACCCCTCTGAACCGGTTTCAAAAAAAATAAATAAAACTTAAAAAAAGTACAAGTACAGGCAGATACGCCAGTATGGCATATCGGCCTGTGTTGATACTTTGAACCTTGGATCCACTATCTCCCAAGTTTTTTCTTTCAATAATGCTCTCATTTCTTCATCCATAGCTTCCTTCCATTTGGGGTCAACAACAACCTCTGAGAACCTGGAAGGGGTAGAGACAGAAGGCAAGCACAAACAAAGGAGTGATAGGCAGGAGAAAAATGAGAATATGAGACAAATCTATTTATAGGATGGAAAGCACAGGATCGAATGGTTTTCGCAAAGCAATAGGAAGACCAGGATCAAGACTAGTGGATGCAATGGGAGAAACCATACCTTGGTTGGCTTCAGGGGCATCCAATTGGTTACAGTCATGAACTAGCAAGTCTCTCTTTCTTTTCCTTCGATAAACACTTACATCACAATGTTTAGGAGCAGTGGCTTCTGCACCACAATGGTCAGGAGCAGGGGCTTCTTCATTAACTAGACAAGTAGACTTAGTAGGCTCAGAAGGAACTAGATCAGGAGAAGTAGATGGAAGAGGAGCAGGGGCAGGAACAAAAGGATTAACCCTCGAGGAAGCCTCTTCCACCCTACTAGTCTCCCCCTTAAGAGGATTTTGAGGAGGGTAATGGCTAGAACTCATGAAAGGTGGCATGTTTTGTGATAAACTTCCTTCTAGTAACTAGATCAAGACACTTGTATCCCTTCTATGTAGGAGATTAACCTAAGCACCCCCCCCCCCGAATTGCCTTAGGGTCCAACTTTGTCCTTCGTAGAATCAGGAATGCAATATGTTTTACATCACATTAGCTACTTGAAGTAATGCAATTGAGGAAAAAAGAGATTGTGGGTTTTACATGCTTGAAAATGTTTTATATGTTTGATTTTACTTTTAAATTTTTCATTTGAATACGCTTTACATGTTATGTTTATGTATTTTAATTTAGATAATAGGTTTTTTAAAACATTTATTTTAAAATTTAAGTTTATATTTTTTTATCATCAAAGGAAACTTTTATTTGAATTAGATTTAAAAGTTTTACAACTTTGTGTATGGGACTAGAAGTCCCACACTATTACATATTTCTGACCCTTTTACAATGCAGCCCAAAACAATTGTTGCCTCAAAGCCCCTTGTTTAGCAAGATAATCAGCTAGCCCATTTGCACTCCTTCTAACCCATTTGAATTATGCTTCTACCTTTTTTTTGAATGTTCTGATTTTTTATTTTTGGCATTTTTTTAGTATTTCTACGCCTTGCTTCAAAAAGGCGCACGCCTCGCCTTGCGCCTCTGGCGCAAATTGGCCCCTGTGCCTTGCGCTTTTAAAACACTAGGATAAACACCATTGTGGTCTCTTCCTTTGAAGTAAATCACAGGTATTAATATTTTCATGCACAACTACCAACAAAAAGCACTAACCTTAGGTTGAATAGGCTAGCACCAAACCTCCATTACTGGGAAAGGTTGTAAAGAAAGGCTTTGTCTCAATCAAATAACACTTCTTTGCAACCTTTCCCAGTAATGGAGGTTTGGTGCTAGTCTAGAAGAAGGAAGCACAAGTAAAGGAACCGAGGGGGGAACATGTCCAGATTCAGCCATCAGGTTTGGAAGGATCAAGGAAAACCTCTCTTCTAACAGTTGTAGCAGGTTAAAGACGAGGAGATTCTGAATCCCTTAAATGCTTATGGAAACCCAAATCCCAAGCAATGCCAGTAGTAGAAATAGAAGGAACAAGGAATTTAGAAACTGGCTCATTTTTGAAGCGGCTCAGTGCAAATAGAGACAGAAATTGATTTTTTAAAGGGGAGGGGCCCAGCCAATCATGTTCCCAAAATTTAATTTGGCCTCCACTACAAAGGTCATACTTAACCAAATTAAGGAAGGAAGATAAAATACCACTGCTGGCCTTCCAAGGTGAAGCTCGAGTTGCTCGATTTAATACTCCAACGTCCCATCCATTTGCTGAAAGCCCATTTATACTCATCACCACCCTTGTCCATAGCTTATCTCTCCATTGAGGCAATCTCCAAATCCACTTCCCTAGCAAAGCTATGTTTCTTCTTTGTAGGCACTCTAAACCTAGACCTCCTACCTCCATACCCCTGCTAACTGCCTCCCAGCTAACTCTATCATCCTCTCTACAAGCCATCTTCTATGTTCAAACTCATCCAATGCTTCTGCAATATTTCACCCATCCCTATTTTCCTCTCCCCTCGGGAAAACAAGCCATCTTCTGCCTACCATTCCCAACGGTTTCATTCAACTCAACGAAAAAACCTCTATTGTTACTCTTCTTCTCCACAATGAACTTCTTCCCTTCAGCACTCAACTCCCGTTTCCAACCTAGCTTGGAAATAGCAAAGATTGTTCCATCCATGAAGCCGTTAAACCAACTTATCGCCTCTCTTCTGTGAATCACCATTGATTGTTTCTCTTCTCTGATTTTTAGTGCTGGGCCTCCACCTGTTTCTTCCAGCAAGAAAAGCACTCCATGGGAAGTCTCATCTATATCACTGTCTAATAAGCATGTTATTGTAGCAACTATAAAAAAAAGCATCTTATTGTAGTAGTTATCACAAAAAAAGCATGTTATTGTAGTATTGATAGATACTCTCCTGTAAAAAATATGATAAAAGGGTGATATTGGATTCAAGAACAGGAATGTAGCGACACATACAAAGAGGAAATTCACCAAAAGCGTATTTTACCATTTGCATTATCTATTGGCTCGACAAGAATTAAGAGCTCTAGCAATGCACGATGGCGATCTTCCAACGGAAGGGAAGAATTTTTCAAGTCATCTATTGCTATTTGCATCAGTTTTGCATCTGATGGTGTCCTCAGTTTCTCCATCAATTCCTGTGTTACAATGAAATAAACAGAAAGCATATCATATAAGGAACATTTTCCAAGCTTCGCCATTAGTTACCATGTGAATGGTAAGATTTATTTCCACCTTTGGTAACTGCCTATTGGTTACCATGTAATCAGTATCCAATTGTCCAAATTAGAATTCAATCCTATTAAGGGTTATTTAAATTTAATTCTTTTGTAATTGGATCTAATATGGATCCACCCCTATCCAATCTGATATAATCTGCTTTAATTCGATTTAAATGCATAAGTTCTTATATACTTAAAATTTATATTGTATCTATCAGTAAAGTTGGTAGGAATGTTGTATTTTCAGTAAGTTCTCATATGTTCAAGTTTCATACAAGTAATTTTCAATTCATTTTGCTCATCAAATATAACATTAAAGTCATTTCTAGTCCATTCAAAAATGATATATATTATTTTGATATTTTTTAGTATAATTTATTTATACTATTTAATATGTTGATATGGATACAATCCAATTTGAATGCAAATATAAACGAATCAAATTTGGAATGGCCTATATACAATTCGATCTGATTTGTTTGCAGCCCTATATGTTTGATTCCATTTCTACGTTTTTACTTTGAATATGTTTTACACATAATTTTTATGTATATTGATTTGTGCCAATAGACCTTTTAACACATTTAGTTTCTTTTATAATTTATTAAGTTTGCATTTTTGAATTACTTTTTTTATTTTTTGAATTTTTGCTTTAAAAATGTACCTTGCTTCAAAAAAGTGTGTCTTAGCCTTGCACCTTGGACCACAGGTGCAAAAATCCCCATGCACTTCTAAAACATTAGGTTGGATACAAGTTGAAGCAATACACCCCATCCACTAATAACTCATAGCACTCCAACCTAAATACCCAAGGCATGTTTTCTTGTTTATTTTTTCGATAATTGCATGTTTTCTTGTTTTTCAGATCTATTTTTTCAGTATAATAATGAGTTTTCCTCTGACATAAGCCTTATTCCTACCTAAGGACTATAGAGAGTATACAGTTCATATCTTGCTAAGAGATCCTTCTCTAAAAAAAAATGAAAGGCACTGCTTATTCTCCCGAAAATATTCAAACTATTGGGTGCGACAGCCCAAAAACTTGAGAGACATCCGACAGTGATGAGCAGCTTCATTCTGTCACACTTAGCAAACTTTGAATTTTAAAAGTTCTGTAATTGTATGGTATTGTAGATTGATTTTTGAAATATTAAGTTATTAATACCTTTTACTCTCATTAATTAATGGTTCTCTCAGCTTATATGTAAGGATTTAACTTAATAGTTATCAATAATCCAGTTGATCTCAAGTTCTAAACCATGTCCAATCAGGATCTGTTTTTTGAGCAATCGAATATTTAATCAGTCTTGCTCCAATGAATGGTGCAAGCAATGGGAAGAGTTGAAAATTACACCTGCAGTAATTTAGATAATGCAAGAAAAGAAGGAAGAGAGAAAGAGAAAGAAGAATGAAGTAGTTTCAGCAATAGGTTGTGGAAGAAGAAAAGAAGGGAAGAGAGAAAAGAAGAATTCGAACTTCCCTCTCTAGCCCCCTTTCATCACTTTTATTAACTTAATTCTAAGATTAAGTACAATTACTTGGATGCCCTTAATGAGGCGGCCAGCACTAAAGAAATAATTAAAGAAAACAAAAGAAGGCCCATAACTAACAAATGTAACTTTAAACACTACTTAAAAGAAATAAAAAATACTAAGGCCCATTCTCACTACACTCCCCCTCAAGCTGAGCATAGATGTCAATCATGCCCAGCTTGCTTACATAATGTTGAAGCTTTGCCTTTGGGACTCCCTTAGTTAGAAAATCTGCTAGCTGCTCTTCTGATGCAATGAAAGGTAGGCACACCTCTCCTAAAGACACTCTCTCCCATATAAAGTGTCTGTTTACCTCAATGTGCTTAGTTCTATCAGGCTGAACTAGGTTGTGAGCAATGTTAATAGCAGCTTGGTTATCACAATACAACAACATCAGTGGCTTGTCACATGAAACACCCACCTCATCAAGGAGAGATCTAAGCCATAACAACTCAAAAACCCCATGGGACATAGCTCTATACTCCGCATCAGCTGAAGATCTAGCGACCACTGACTACCGCTAGGTAGGTCAAGATCTGAAAACAAGGGTATTAGTGGAGGAGGTGATGAACAAATCCTCTATTTAGTAATTGGAAGCACTTGAGACTCAACTAGAGGTGTAGGATCGACTTGTGTTTGCCTTAGCCATTGCCGCTAGTACCACCTCTAGAGAATAGGATGAGTCGAAACAACTAGAGGATTAGCAGGAAGAGGGGGAGGAGCAGGAATGGAAGACCACAAAGCAAAGGATTCCTCAACGAGAATGGGGGTAACTGTAGAGGGCTCGACACAAGACTCAACTGGAGCTTGCAAAGGAAGGGATGAAGAAAACAACTCAAGAGATCTCTCCCCCTTAGAAGGACAACTATAAAAAGGAACCGACTCTGCAAAGGTGACATCCATAGAAACAAACTGGGTGCCACTAATGGGATCAAAACAACAGTACACTTTCTATGTCGAGGCATAACCAAGGAAGATACACTTCTAAGCCTTAGGGTCAAACTTGTGTCTTTTGGAACTGGGAATGTGGACATAACAAGTGCAACCAAAGACCCGCAGAGGAATAGAGAAAATCTCAACACCTAGAAAGAGGATTCCAAAAGGAGATTTTAACTCCACACATCAGAGTGAACAGTATTAAAAGGAATAGTTGATATTTTATTACTTGAAGGATAAGTGTTCTTACAATGCTTTAAGAACTCACAAGACTCACAATGAAGACTCAATAGACTAATTCTTTTAAATAACTCTGGAAACACCTGACTCAATTAAGAAAAAGACAAATGACCCAAACAACTATGACATAACATAATAAGACTGGTGGACTGAAACAAATGTATCTCTCTTAAGTTGTACTTCGCTCTGCTCAGGCATGTCTAATAGATAGATCCCATTTGCCTCATGGCCACACCCAATCACCTTCTGAGGTTCCATGTCCTAAAAAACACAATATGAATGAAAAAAGGTCACACGCAATTTAGAGATTTAGTCAAATTACTAACTGAAAGCAAATTGGCAAAGTTTAGGTACATGAAGAACATATGATAAGGATTTATCAAAAAAAAGAACAGATGATAAGGTCAGGGCATTAAAGGTCATAATGTCTCCCTTTCTCGTGATAGGAGCAAGAGAACCATCAGCAAATGATATCTTATCCCGGCTAGAAAGGAGTTTATAAGAGGTGAATAACTTTGAAACACTGGTCAAAAGGTCAGAAGCACCATAATCAATTACCCAAGGGGTTTTATGAGTACCTGAGACAGAAGCATGATGTGCAGTGGCACAAATACTTGAGTGAGCATATGTAGAGGAAGGAACAGTCTTTGAAGGAGATGTAGCAGTGGACTCCAAATGACAAATGATTTGGCCATACTTCTCATATTCAGCCTTGGCAGTTGCAAGTTGTTCTCCCATTGACTTCTCTCCACCCTGTCCTTGTTCACCTTGTGAAGAGGTGGCTACATTTGCATTTCCACCTTTCCAGTTTCAAACCTTTTTCCACCATTTTCTTTCTTTAGTCTAGCAAGAATGAGCTCTGGATGTAGCTTCCACCATGTGTCTTTAGTGTGTTTAGACTTCTTACAGTATTCACAGATAACATTTTTCTTCCCAATGTTAACCTTCGACTTCATCCCAGTATTGGCATAGTGATCAACACGCGGCTCAACAGACTGAACTTGTCTTCTACACTCCTCACTACTCACCATAGTATACACCTGAGACAAAGTCACCTCATCCTTTGCTAAAACATTCTACCTCACAATATCATACTCTGAGTTGAGTTGAGTCCATTGAGGAACTCAAAGACCCGGTTTCTCTCCACCAATTTCCTATATGTTTTTGCATCCTTTTTGCAACCCCAAACAATAGTCTCCATTGGATCAATCTCTTGCCAAAGAGATTTCAGCATAGAGAGATTTCAACATAGAATTGTAGACGGCTATAGGCTTCTCCCCCTGTCTTAAATTATTCACATCATGCTTCAATTTGTAGGCCCAAGCAACATTAAGCTTTTGGGAATAGGTCTCAGTGACACTATCCCACACTTTTCTGCAATTTCCATTCACAAGTAATGCTAACTAATGTGTGGTTGCATAGAATTCACTAACCAACCCACTACTGTATATTTGTATAGTTCTCCTGCATTCACCTTTCATAGGTAGGATTATCCTCCTTCGGTTTCTTCTTGCTCTCGGTAATGTAACCCCATTTTCCTCTACTACATGCATGTATCTTAATAGATTGAGACCAGGCTAAATAATTGGTCCCATCTAACTTCACAGTAGTCACAGCCCCAAAAAGATTCTCCACTAACCCCCATGTCCAAACTCAAAATATGTGGAATATTTGGTCTCTCCACTAGTTTGCTCTATTGAGTAAACGGATGCAAACGAAAATCAAATTAGGATTTTACTAGGCTAGATTTATTGTTCTAAGCAAAGAACAACACTTTAACCCCCCAAAATTAGGGTTTCACAGGACCCAACAGAATGAGGAGAAAGAGAGAAACTTCAACCGCCCCTTCTAGAGGTTCCAAAACTCAATCCAACCAAAATCGCCCCCAATAGAAATCAAAAGACTTACCTCTGATCCCCAAGCGCTTGGTTCAAACTGTCTCTACAACTTGTGACAATATTTCTCCATTTAGTTAGGGTTTTCGGTAAAAATCCCCAAGAACCTACCTTGGGCTTCAACTAAGGATGAAAAACCCCCCAAAAAACTCTCCAAAAACCCTCCTAATTGAGTTGCATAAGTAGCTGATTGATCAACCAATCAATTCTCCATACACACTGTGTATGGGCAAAGAAAAGAAAAAAGTCGGAAGTGAGAGCAGTAATTCAGATAATGCAAGAAAAGAAGAGAGAAAGAGAAAGAAGGAAGAAG